TGTATGTATGTATGTATGTATGTATGTATGTATGTATGTATGTATGTATGTATGTATGTATGTATGTATGTATGTATGTATGTATGTATGTATGTATAGGCCAATGTTAATTTGCAACCCATGTAAATCTTACAACTTTTACAACCCTCATATAAACCATTGGATTAATGATAAGTTGTTACTTTGTATTTATTTATTTTTTGTTTTTGTAGTTGAAAATATTGGGTTCGCGTCAATTGTAACCGGTGATCATGAAATCAATGGTTAAGATTTTAGTTGTACTTTTACTTGTAAAGATTAGAAATTGATTGCATGTGTAATTAATTTATATGTAGGAAGTTCAAATAACAAGACTAAATATCATGAAATGTATAGTGAAAACAAATGTTTATGTGTGAATTTTTGAAAAAAAAAATCATTTAAAAATGTATACATATATAAGTAATATGTAAGGTCGATTCAAATATATCTTCAAGTATAATTTTTTTTATAGTTCACATATATTAACTTTTAATCACAATATTAACCTTTGATATAAATTGGGGTTAATACTTTATATATGACCGCATATAAGCTGTTATCTTTGTACGTATTGATTCTAGAGTGATTTGAAAAGTCCGTTTTTACAACAGAATTATTAATATTGATGTATGTTTATTTTAAATAATAAAAATGATATTTTTTTAATAATTAATTAAGCATAATACATAATCTTATTAAAAAAAAAAAAAAAAAGGATGGTTCATAGCAATCTTCCTTTTGAATCTCAGTCGAATGGATCTTTCATAAAATCTGAGTTAATTGGAGTTGGAGCTGGTTTGATACTTGGGCACGTGCATGCAACCTTTTTTTATAGCTTCATACATTCCATGTACGTTGGCTTTCCCACCTCCATTTTTTATTCTTTAATTGTGTGTGATTTTCTGCATGGAATTACAACTATTACTACTATATATAATCTCTATATATTAATAAATAAATAAGTAATAAAACCTTTTAAAAAAGAAATCTATTAAGTTCAATATATATATTACCAATAGAAGTATTATCATTTATTATTCTACACTTATTTACAAGTTTTCCATCATATAAACTTTCATATATATATATATATATATATATATATACATACATATATATATATATATATAGGTGGGTTATTATACAACATTTTACATTTGTACAACCAATATAACTTAATTTCAACCGTTCGTTTAATTTGATTAATATGTGATTTTATAAAAGTTCTTATTGTTTTCTAATATAAAGAATTGATCATAATTAATGAACTCTTATACATTTCCATAAATATCTCAATTGATTGAGTTACAGTACAAATGTAATGAGTTGCATTTGAAACGTCATCTCTCTCTATGTGTATGTGTGTGTGTATATATATATATATATATATATATATATGTCTTTTAGGGTTTTCTTATTAATTAAAATAAAAGACTTTTCTTCAAAAAGATATAAGACTTTTTCTGGCAATAATTCGGATCCTAACATGTTTCTTGACTTCTCAGTGATAATTACAAAATAATCAATAGGTTTGATTTTTTCCCAAATTATATTTTAATTATTACATCTAATTACAAAATTGGTTAGATCTCAATTGTTGAAATTTAACTTTTTTATTTACATTTTTTGTAATATAAACAACATTGTTATGCTCTCTTAAGCTTTGACAATGAAATCAAGAAAATGTTGAGTAAAATTAATTTTTTGAAAAAAAAAACTTAAAATTGATTTTGGTTTCTGAAAATTTCTTCATTATATTATGCTTTAATGCAATGTTGTTTTATTGTAAAAAGAAAAGAAAAAAAAATTAAAAAAGTTATGAGTAATTAATTAAGAAATTAAATTAAATAATCAAATTAAATTAAATTTTGCATTGGAAGTAGGGAAGTTCCTTACTCCCTTGTCTCAAGGAGATTGTTATTCCCATTGTTGTTCTTCAAATCTTCACAAGCTTCATGCTCTTGTCTCTTTAACAAGCATTAATAATAATAATAATAATAAAAAGCCTCATCATAATCAACAAACAAACAGATCATAATGTGATGACAATCCCCATGTTCATTTAAGGCAAAAGATACCCTTATCCTTCATCATTTTATTAATTAAACAACTTCTAATTGATCCCACAAACAATGTGTAATCCATCCCATAGGTCCAAATGTACTTCTAACATCTTCTTAATTCACCACAACAAAAATAACACTCATGCAATGCGTCCGAACCTGTCCACGGATGTATTAGAAATGATACCTTGGAACGGATGTAAAGCAAACAAATAGCTTCGGGCAAAGGATTGTGTCGGTTGTAAGAGATATGAATCCGTCTGCCCAACGGATTTCTTGAGTGTTCAAGTTTATTTATGGCATGAAACAACCCGTAGCAGAGAAGGTTTTGTTTTGTATTTAAAAACGTTAATAGCTTCTTTAAAGGCTTTAGAGAAGTTTTTCATTTCCATCAAAAAGTTTTTCTATATAAGGGTAGGTAAAGATTTTTAGGTGTGTTTTTGTTAACTTTTAGAGACGCTTTTTTGTGGCTATAAATACACTTCCAAAGTTTCTCTAAAGATTAGTCAACTTTTTTCAAAAAGCTTCTATAAAAGTATTTGTTAGTAACATTTTTCAAGTATTTGTGACGGTTGATAAACGTCTCAAAAAGGTACTCTCAGAGAAAGTTTACAAAAAAGCTTCTTTAAAGGTATTAGCTTTAGTGACATTTTACCTAAACTTTCTGTTGGGTCACCTATTGATTTGGTGATGACCCATTGATCTGTTCCTCTATATTAGCAACACTTAGTAGTTATTGGTTCTTTGTATATTAGTGTCTTGTTACATACTTAAGTCATTGGCAAAATCGAAGACTAGCCGATGTAAAGACAGAAGGTCACCGATGCGGTGTTGTGGATCAACTGTCTAATATATACACCAAGACTCCAAAGTAGCTGAAATGAATATTAAAAATATTTTGAWGCTACAAGCCGATTGAAGGAASATCTTCATARACCGAAGATTGAAAATCKTCATGGACTCAAGATTGAAGATCATGGACCGAAGATTGAAAATCTTCATGGACCGAAGATTTGTGAGTAGCTGCTTAAAGCTACATATCCATCCAAAGGAGATCTTCCTACAGACTGACCATATCTCTGCAAAGTTTGTCTCTGCATGAACAGTGTTGTTTGCACGCTGTGTACGATGAAAATGAGATATCAACATTGGTTAAGTCAACCCCTACCTTCTTATCCTCAAGTGACAAGTGTCCCCATGCATTAAATGCTGAAGGTAGTATAAAAAGGCAGTGTGCATCTCCCATGCAGACAACTGGCTTTTTGAAAGATTACTTAGTGCATTCTCAAAGCAATTGGCTATTCTCTTCTACTCCCTTGCTCTCCTGTGTGCGAAGAAAATCTTAGTGTTCTTCATTTCCTTTCAAGAACTCTTTGTGTTGTTCTTGAAAGTTCTTCTCCTTGTAAGATTGTTTATGTTAGGTTTTCCTTTCCTATCTTTCGCAACAATCTTTTGTATTTCTGTGTGTATTATTTCTTGATATAAATCAATAAGAATTAAAAAGTTGAAAAAAGTCTGTGTAATTGTATTCAACCCCCCTTCTACAATTACTTTCTGTTTATTGTCATTCCCTTCGGGACTAACACTTTCTCTAAAGATATCATTTAGTTACACTTTGCAAACCTTCTCTGAAGGTTGTCTTTAGATACAAATAATCAAAACATTCTCTAAAGGTTATCTTTACATACACTTTTAAAAGATCAATTCATTCTTTAAAGAGCATATTATTATTATTATTTTTCATCCATATTTCAACTATTTATATTTATATATAATTATGTATTATAAATAATAATATTAATCAATAAAAACAACAAAAAATCTTAAAGCAATAAATTTTTCATACTTATTTTATAAAAAACAAGAATTTTTCAAAACAATTCATAATGTTCAATTAATCCATGCATCCATTTTCTAACATCCTCACTAAATCCTTGCAAAATTTGATCCTCAACCTATCACCTCTCATCTGTTTCTAACTTTTTTATATTTACTTCTCGAGTAGAACCACGTTTGTTACTTTGCACAAATAACGAAGCCCATTTGGTTGCAAGGTGTCTATAAATGTGGTAGCCATAATGGAATAATTTCATGGGAACGGTAATGGTGCCCATTTCCCACCTTATCTGTAAAAACTCAATAATCCATCAAAACACGTCATCAGAAAAATGAATATAAAACGTAAATATAATTTCAACTTTAACATTCTCCTATTTAGGCATCATAAGTAGCATAACATATTAAACTTGCTTTTAACCTTTTGATAAAAAGCTGGCAGGTTAGACTCCTCAAACGGAAGATATCAGCAGCAACACCATCATAATCACACTTACTTAAAACCTCAAGGCAAACAATGGTATGAACTTCATTCAAAACATAGATTTGTTTCAAACCAAAATCGAACAAGCAACAATGCAACATACACTACCAAAAAACCCACTATTTCCGGCGGATTTGGCTGCCAGAAAAAAGGGCGCCGGTGATTGTTTTTCCGGCGGCTTTTCCGGCGGATTTTCCCCGTTTCCGACGGATTACGGCCGCCGGAAAATCTTCGCCGGTTTTTAAAAAAAATCTTGATTAACTTAACAAATAATTAATCTTTTTTAAAAATTTCCGGCGGAATATTCCGTCGGAAATCCACCGGAAACATTTCTCGCCGGAAAAATAATATTTTCTAAAAGATTTATTTTTTTTTTAAATTACCGGCGGATTTAATATATATAATAATTTTTTTAAATAATAATTTAGAAAAGTTTTAATTTTTTTTAAAATACCGGTGGATAAATCCGCCGGAAATCCGCCGGAAAAGTATATATATAATAATATATTTTTTTTAAATAATATTTAAAAAAAGATTTAATTTTTTTTTAAAAAATACCGGCGGATAAATCCGCCGGAAATATATATATATATATATATATATATAATATTTTAAATTTATTTAAAATTAATATTTAAAACCTGTATTTAATACCTGTATTTAAAAACTGCAAATCTATACAATATTAAAACTGAAAATAAAAAGGCGAAATAGAACTAAATATCATACTTTAAAGTGAAACTACAATTATTCCAACCAAACAAAAACTAAATTGTTTCAAAGCGAAAGACAATATTCAATATGGTGGTGGCGGGGGGAAATGTTGAGATTGACTGAGCTGTCTAACCAAAGCAGCCATATCTTGAAGTTGTCTATCCTGTTGCTCCTCCCTCTGTCGTCGTCGCTCCGCCTCCACCCGCTGTCGCTCCTCCTCCACCAAACGTCGCTCCTCGGCCGCCCGCCATCGCTCCTCCTCCGCCAAACGTCGCTCCTCCGCCGCCCGCCATCGCTCCTCCTCCGCCAAACGTCGCTCCTCCGCCAAACGTCGCTCCTCGGCCGCCCACCATCGCTCCTCCTCCGCCAAACGTCGCTCCTCCTCCGCCATCTGTTGGCGCTGACTTTGTTCCTGTAAGTCTCTAAGTTGGCACTGACTTTGTTCCTGTAAGTCTCTAAGTTGGGTCTTTAAGGTTTGAATTTCCTATAAAATAAATAAAACGTTATAATATTTAATATGAATTATAAGCTAAGTCGATAAACATCATCAAAAGAAAAGAGACACATACATGCTTATCTGAAGACGATGAACCAMCTTCCGGAAAGTCCCCGGTCAAGACACAATTAGGATCTTGGTTGTACCCAAACCCAAATAAACGACCTTTCTTGCTTCCCCCAACCGCTTGCTCCCACAACTCTTTATCAACTAAGGGATAAGTTGAGGGATCATCGCCGTATCTTTGGCTGATACCAGTTGAATACTCATCCTATATATAGTTTAAAAAAGATTGCAAGTCAATTTTGACAGCATAACGGCTGTAAATGAGACGTTTCCAAAACAATCATAACGTTTGCCCAATAAATGGCAACCCAAACTAAATAATGACATATACGTAATTTCTAACATAAACAATCCTAATGTTTGCCCAACAAATGGCAACCCAAACTAAAGCATGATATATACGTAATTTCTAACGTAAACAATACGGTTGTTTGCCCAACAAATGGCAACCCAAACTAAAGCATGATATATACGTAATTTCTAACGTAAACAATCCTAATGTTTGCCCAACAAATGGCAACCCAAACTAAATAATGAAATATATACGTAATTTCTAACTTAAACAATTATAATGTTTGCCCAATAAATGGCAACCCAATTATAATAGATAGATATACTTACAATGACTTGGCTACACTTAGTGGTCACGTACCCCCCAGAATCCGTAGATGCGGCATCTCCACTCGACCTCTTCTTGTGTGTGTAATCGAATAATTCAACAACGGTCGGGGGCACGCCATCTTTTGCTCGTGTCTACAAAGGTCAAATTATACAAACATGTGTTAATTATAACATGTTAAAAATCAAGCTACTAAATTAATGGGTTTTAGGTTCTACCAGACGAGCAC